TAATTAGAAAGAAAGACACATAACAGCTCCCTTCCCCTTAAAAAACGGCCTTGTCCTCAAGATTGGTTAGGAAATTGCTTTTGCATAGCAGCAAGATTTTCCCAAGTCGCCTCTGCAGGTGAGAGTCCCTTCCAATGAATGAGAATTTCAACTTCATTTTTTCGTTGACGTCGATCAAGCACTGCCTGTGGTGTAGGGGAAATGGTTCCTGTATCCATTACAACAGCTGGAAGTTCACCTTGAATTGGGTGTCTGGAACTAACCTTTTTCTTTAAAAGAGAAACATGGAACACTGGATGAATTTTTGACCCTGCTGGCAATTCCAACTTATAAGAAACTGCTCCTATTTTCTTTAGAACCATGAAGGGTCCATAATATTTCGGAGCTAGCTTGGCAACTTTTCTTATTGCCATTGATGATTGTCGATAAGGTTGGAGTTTTAGATAAACCCAGTCTCCCACTTCAAATTCTCGTTCCGTATGATGTTGGTCGTATATCTTCTTCATACGAGATTGCGACTCCTGAAGCATTACTTTCAAGTCCTTAAGAACTTGACCTCTAATTCGTAGTTGATTGTCCACAGACTCAACAGCAGTAGCACTAGGAATGTAAGACAACAATGTAGGCGGAGCCCTGCCATAAACAAGCTCAAAGGGGGTCGTTTTGATAGAGGAATGCCAGCTAGTATTGTAACAGTACTCTGCCCATGCTAACCAGTTACACCATTTATTTGGTCGCGAACTCGAAAAATACCTTAGATACATTTCAAGGGTACAATTCACCACCTCGCTTTGGCCATCGGTTTGTGGATGGTAGGCAGAGCTATAATTAAAATTTGTACCATTCCTCTTGAATAACTCTGACCAAAAGATGCTTGTAAAAGTGGGATCTCGATCACAAACAATCGATCTCGGCATCCCATGCAATTTAAATATATTCTCAAAAAAAATCTCAACACCAACAGTGGTATATGGATGGGACAATGGAATAAAATGCTCATACTTGGTCAGTCTATCAACTACGACAAAAATTGTAGTTTTGTTTTTAGATACCGGTAAACCATCGATGAAATCCATTGATATATCCTCCCATACCTGATTCGGAATTGGCAGTGGCTGTAGAAGGCCAGCGGGAGCAAGTTGTTCAGACTTGTGGCGTTGGCAAATGTCGCAGGCAGTAATAAACTTCTTGATTTTTTCCCGCATTCCCGTCCAGTAAAAATTGGCCTGAATTCGCTGAAGGGTTTTATGATACCCTTCATGAGAGCTGTTATGAAACTGCTCAATTATATCAGGGATTAATGGTGAATCTGCAGCTAGGAAAACTCTTTCTTTAAAAAAAATAATTCCATCAAAAAGCTTCCATGGTCCCATGACTTCATCTCTTTGGATTCGTTGAACCAAGTCTTGCAAATCTGTTTTAGAGCTAATTTCTTCTTTGATTGCGGCTACCCAATTTGACACTGGTTCAGAGATTGCTGCTAACTCACCAGATGGTTTTGACTCCCTTGCATCATCTTCTCTTCGAGATAAAGCATTGGCCACAATATTCTCAGGTCCTTTCTTGTATTCGATGACGAAATCAA